GTGTGTGTGTGTATCTGTATGGAGTGTATTGTGTATACATGTATGGTGTGTATGTGTGTATGTATATATGTATAGAGTGTGTGTGTGTGTTGTGATGTACGTATGTGTGTCTATAAGTGTATGTATCTGTATGGAGTGTGTGTGTGTGTGTGTGTGTGTGGTATGTGTGTGCACGTATGTATCTGTATGAAGTGTATGTATGTTTGAGGGAGAGTGTGTATGTATCTGGAGTGTGAGTGTATGTATGTGTGCATATCTGTATTGAATATGTATATATGTATCTGTATGGAGTGTGTGTGTGTGTGTCTGGAGTGTATGTGTGCAGGTTCATATTCATGTGTGTGGAGGCCAGAGTTAACCTCAGGTGTTATTTCTGAAGACACCGCCTACCTTATTTTTTTCTAGACAAGGTGTCTTACTGTCACCTGAAACTTAATGATTTGACTAGGTTGGCTGGCCAGTGAACCCCTGGGACCCGCCTGTCTGCACTCCCTCGGTCCTGAGATTGAGGATATACACGACCACGCTTGCATGTTTTCTTCCATGGGTTCCTCAAACCAAAACCAGGTCATCCTGATTACATGGCAAGCGCTCTACTGTCTGAGCCATTTCTCCAGCCCCATGAAGTTTTTCTTGACACTCTCGATGTCTCTCTATGGCTTCCGTATCCCATGGCGCCTTGTCTGTCACAGTCCATATCCCAAGGCATGGCAACCATCCATCTGTTGTGCACAGGCTGACAAGTTCTCTAAGAGCACTGGCTGTGACCTCTTTGACTCTGTTTTAATGCCCTCAGTCAGGCTTGGTTCAGAGAAAGATCTCTCATGGGGGTGCCTTCATAGGCCCTCTGTGCTGATCGACACTGTTAGGGTTCGTACCTCTGCACCGCTTCACAAGTTCAGACCTCACAGCTCTCCAGAGGCCAACCTCGATGGGCGCTAGCCCCTCTCCCTTCCACAACCTTGTCCCTGTCCTGAGCTGCTTCTCAGCTTGTACTGCGGATGGGAGACAGAATCAGGATAGAAAGGAGCAGGCAGAAGATTTCTGCATCTCCAACTCTCACAGGCAGGATGGGGAGCATCTATGTCAAGGCTCCTGGGGCCTGGGGGTGTCTACACCCCTTTGCTAGGGGATTATGACATTGTAAAAAGAGATTTAGAAAGGACTGGGGCTATAGCACATTGGTAGAGCACTTGTCCAGCATGTATACAGGGACCTTTGATTCCTAGCACTGCCCAAAAAGAAAAAACAAACAATCAAAACACCAACCAAACAACAACAACAACAACAAACAAGCACAGAGGTAGGACCTCAACCGGTGCTGCTAGGCCTGTGCTCAGAGGAACGCTGGAGACTTACGAGGCACTAGAGGTCAGAGACCTGCTATCAAAGCAATAGGCCCTGCTGTTCCAGTGCTATGTGCCTTGAAAGCCCAAGTTAGTGCTCGGGACTTAGCTTTCTGCACACCTGCAGAGTAGAGAAGTTCCCATGGATTTCTGCCCATCAGATTTCTGATCAGGGTCTCATTCTGGAAATGAAATCTGTTTAACTGATATCTGCTCAACATTACTGTCTCAGACATGGCTGTTTGGCTCCATCCTGGCATTTTGGAAGTCTCACATCCCCAACCTGGCCAGATCCCCCCCATCCCAAATCATGCTCATCAGGGCTTGTACTAGACAGAGTATAATAAACTCATCGCTTGAACCTGGGCCCCATCCCATCTTCTTACCTCAGTTTTTGGGGTCCCATTCCTTCTGCTACCTCTAGAAAGTCCTTTCAGTTCTCGAGGGAGCTCAAGACCCAACCACAGACTGGCAACTCAATCCTTCCATCAAAGTGGTCCACAGTCAGTAAGTTCCCAGAGTCTGAGTCAATTGTACTAAGCTTCTAGAATTCTAGGGTTTGCACATTCTGGTTCCCACTCCAGGATCACCCAACCGTGCGTCAGATCCCCATCTCTATTGTGTTCATTTCATCCTGCGGCTCATCAAGACCCCCACCCCCACCCCCACCACTGTTACTCTGAACTTTGTCTTCTGGTGTTGCTGCCTTAACCGGGGCCCTGGAGGGAATCTTAGCCGCTTTCGAGGCCCAGCTCAGAGGCCCCCGTTTCCATGGAGCCCTCCAAGTCCTTCCCACAGAGAGAGCCAGCGATTCTCGTGCCTTGTATTTCCTTTGGGTGTGCTGTGTTTCATCAGCAGATGCACGGGGCCTGCCTACCGAGGGCTAGAGTCTGTGCCAGGCCCAGCCGATGGCCAGGGGCAAGACAGACATGGCCCTTGTTCTCATATTTTGGGTCCTCTTCCTCAGTCACCCAACCAGGACCCGTTCCCTTAGAACTGGAGGTAGAGACTCTGTCTACAGGCACAGCCAGGGCTTTTCTGGATAGGATCCCAACAGCACAAGAAGTGATTGTAAGTACTGACCAACAGAATTACATAAAAAACAGTCAACAGAGACAGCCTCCACGAAGGGGAAGCATATTTTCCACCTCCACACCAGACAGGAGAATTAATATCTAGGATATATAAAGAACTGAAGAAATAAACACTAAAAAACTAAATGAGCCAATCAGCACACAGGCTAATGAACCGAACAGACAGCTCTCATGAGAAGAAACACAAATGGCCAATAAACAGCTGAAGACATATTCAGCACTCTTAGTTACTAGGGTACTGCAAATTAAAGCTGTTCTGAGACTGTCTCACCCTAGTCAGAATGGCTGTCATCCAAAGGACAAGTGGCAGCCAACACTTGAGAAGCTGTGGGGAAAGAAGAACCCTTCACGGTTCCTGGGAATATAAACCTGCCACAATGGAAATCAATACAGGGCATCCTCAAAAGAAAAAAAAAAAGAAACGCAGAATTCTGTTCTGTACAACCCAGTCATAGCGTTCCTGGGTATTTCCCTGAAGGACTCCAGGTTAAAACGTCACAGAGACACTTGCACACCTGTGTTCATCGTTGCACTGCTCACACTAGCTGGGAAATAACATGAGTCTGGATGTCCACTGACAGATGCATGGGTAAAGACAAGGGGATGCATAGTCATAGCAGATGTAGCCATAAGGAAAAGTGACATCATGACATGTAGGAAAATGGGCAGAGTGAAAAATCACAGTGTTTAGTGAAATAAGCCAGACTCCGAGAGACTATCACAGGCCTCATCTTTTCATAGATGCAGAACCTAGATTTAAAGTTACATATGGGTGTAGGTGTGTGTGTTTCTGGACGCATGTGTGGAGGTCATGAAACCAGAAAGGGGCTTATGAGAGGCAGGAAAGGATCTTAACGGAGGTTATCAAGGGGTGAGACTAATGTCTTGGTTGTGGGCTCATTTATAACAGTAGAGAAATTTTTCTCTTTACGCCCAAAGCTCATAGCTCCCCATCTCAGAGGTATCCATAGTCTTTCCTGGAGAAACGATTAAGCAGAAAACGCCCAGCCTTTCTGTCCTTGTTGTCTGCCCTCTTGCCTGGGAGAGTGGAGTTTGGCCAGTGCCAATGTCCAAGACAGTCACCTCCAAGAAGGCAGAGGTCCAGGCTGTCCACACTTCCTGAACTTTCTGGCTAAGGAGGAGTGACCTGCTGGGAAAGGGAGAACCGAGCAGGAGGCATCTGAAAAACTCCAGAAGAAAGGGTCTCTATCAACAGACTTAGCTGCTTGGAGGTGTGGCTTAAGTTCCTGCAAATGTTGCTGGCTGGCAGGTGGCCTGCTCCCTGGGGCCCTAGGGAGATTGCAGTGCTGAAATCTTCTCAAACAAGGCCACGTGTCGCTAGGAAAATTGGATTCTGTTTCCACAAATTCAGTTTAAGCCACCTTTCTGCGGTACCTTTAAAGGTGAACCCCCACCCCCCTGCCAGCTGCCAGCATCTCTGGAGCCCCATGAAGAGGCGCTAGATGGATTCTTAACATGGCTTTCAGTCCATGCCTACCTGCTTGCAGAGGAGTGCACAGGATGGAGAAAGGGCTACTCTGAAACTGCCCCTGAGAGGTGTTTTTTTGCACAGGTTTAGAGCCTGTCTTTGCCTAAGATTTCTAAAAGTGTGAAACCTAGGGGTAGGAACCAGAGATGTCATTGTCTTTGTTTTATTCCCAGCATACAGAAAAATGTCTGAAACAGTTAAAAAAAAATGAAACAACAATACACAGACGCGATGCCAGGTATAACCCCGAATGCTTTCTGTGAGGAGGTGTGGGTAATCCTCAGGCTGGGCCAGGAAAGCAGACATGGCTATTAGCTTACCACCCCCATTTTGTAGGCAAGAAAATTGAGACCTGGAAAGGTTCCAACCCCTCTAAAGGTGACACAGCCTTGGATAGTGGGGCTCCAGCTTGGGTGGTCACTTTCTGAACCATACCACCCTTCAATGTTTGTTTACAGAACGAGTGAATGAGTGACCGGGATCAAATGACCCCCCCCCCCCCCCGAGGCGTGCCAAAGCCAGACATCCACTAGGAAAGTAAATGCCATGCTTTTTTCCTTAGAGGGCAGTCCAGGGACTGAGGGACTTTGGAGACACAGGACAGGCCAGACCCGAAGACATGCCCTGCATTGCATCCCCGCCACCCTGCCCTTTTAATGAAACTGCTTGTCCACTACTTAGTCTGATGGTCAAATTGGGGGTAGGGTTCTGAGGATTCTCACACTCTCATTTAATTTCTGTAAGACAGATTATCCCTTTACAGGGTAGGGGACCAATATCAGAGAGGTTAAGTAAGCCTCCTGGGCACACAGTCACATGGCGATAGAGGCGGGATTTGAACCTAAGTTCGGGAACCTCCTGTTTGGACCACGGCCCTCTGCTGCTTGCTGCCTTCAACCAGTTCACGGCTTGCGGTTCAATCAGTGTACCTGCAGCCAGCTTGCTCTTGTTCAGATTTCACTGGATTCTGGGTGTGCCCTTATAGAAGTAGGATTTGTGGACTCAGAGTCCCAACTCCAAACAGACGGCGGTGGAGTCAAGTACTGCATTAATCAGCGTGCCTGTATTATCACCCAGTTTCTCGGGACTTTGTTTTGGTTTAGACGTGATTAGAGTAAATAGAGGTTAAGAAATCCACCAGGGTCAGGGAGCTTGTAGTAGATGATGATGTGGGACCAGAACCCTGAGAAAGCCATGTCCCTGTGCTTCCTACAATGTCATAGCAACACCCAGAGATAGAGGATCCCTTAGCCACCAGAAAATCCTCTTTTTGAGAGGCCTGGATACCAACCAGAGGTGTTAGCAATGGAGACTAAGCCGAGCAGAGTCCTAGGTGAGAGAGGAGGTATCTGCCATTCTCCTCAGTCAGCCTGGGAGTCACAAGCTCTTGCCTTAGATCCCTGATAGAATTCAGCTTGAAGCCAGGCTCTGGTGTGTACCACCCAGTGACATGGCACATTACTTCACTTGGCTAAGCCTCTGTTTCCTGACCTGTGCAAAGGGCACAGAACTTAAGCCTGCTACCCAGTGCCATCAGGAGGAAGTTCAATAGCCCTGACACACAGCGACCAGCTCCCCCTCCCCCCACTTTTTTATTTTTATTTTATTTTTTTGGTATTCACTATATAGTACAGGCTGGCCTTGAAGTCGTGATCAGCCCTTCTGTCTTATCAATCTGAGTGCTGAGACGGGAGGTGTGCACCTCCACAGCCAGAGTTTCGGCTGGCTTTGGAAGGCATGATGGTGGACTATTCCTGTGTAGGGGTCAGAGGAGGACGTGGCCAAGGTAGCCCAGCTCAGACCTCACAAAGGGCTTGCGCGTGATCTCTTTAGCATGGGCCACCTCAGGAAAGTCTTCGGTGGCTTGAGAGAGTAAAAATGATGTAATTAAAAGTTGTCCAGGGAGCTTTTAGCCTGTGACCAATTAACATTTTCAAATGCAGCCGTGAGTCATAAAAGCACCGCTATTCATTCATACCTCACACAATTTGTAATCAAGGCACCACCACATCCATAAACGTTAGAGCGCGAAGAGCCAGGGGAGAGGAAAAACAAGAGACAAAAGCCAGCAGCCCCGTGACTCCATCTTAAGGATCAGGGGACCCGGGCTTAGGTGGGAAACAAAGGAGGGTTGAGTCTTAGTTTAAAGCTAACCTGCTGCCCTGCTAAGGGGTGGGAGTTTGACTCTTACCACAGGGAGTCTCATCTGCTGACTAGGGCTGAGAGCCAGTGATTGGGGTTGCTATTGGGAGATAAGACCCTGGACGCGGCTATTCTAGTTTAATCTCTCCACTCGGCCGTATGTCCTGTGAGTGTTCTGACTAGGTAGGCTTCCATGTTCTTTTAGTTAAGCCTAGAGTGATCTCCATGCTGCTGAGCAGATCTGGGCTCTCCTCATCATAGAGACAGGGCAGGCTGTGTGCCCCTGTCCCCTTGGAAACCTGAAATGTGTCTTGCTTCAGCCTGTGAGTTATGCAGAAGTGAAGCCCATCACTTCTGGACTGGAGACTTTGAAAGCCAGTGTGGGTTCAGCGATGCCTGCCACAGCAATCTTGGAAGAACGGATGTAGGAGCGACGACATTCCTTGATGACATGTGACCTGCTTCGGGCAGGTGGCGTGAACATGTGCTTATTGTTACTGCAACACAATGGCACCTGGCTAGTGAAGCCTTCCTTGCTCGGTCTGTAAGCTAAGATGATGGTCAGGGGCAGAGACTAGGGCGTGGCCGAAAAGGACACTGACTAGTGGTCGCACTATGGAATAAACGCCATGAAGACAGAGCTTTTATTTTCCCAACAGTGTTCAGGAGAGTGACTAGCACCCAGCGGATGCTCAGTAAATGTTGACTAAATGAACAGAGGATTGAGGTGTGGTGGGGGACAGCGTGGAAGCAACCAACCTAACAACGGTTGAAAGTTCCCAGTTCCAGCAACAGCTCTCCGTTCCCTCCTTGTCCACTCACTTACTCAACTCACAAGTTTTAAAACACAGACTCCCAAAGGGCTCCCTATTCTGTCCCCCAATAACTGAATCAGAGATAGACCCTAGAATCCACTTAAAGCAGGGACCAGGTTTCATGGGAAATGGTGAGGAAATTTTTCAATTGGGATTT